AAGTAAAAATCTTACGATCAGACTCCGACGGGAAATACTTATTAAATGATTTTCAAGACTTTTTGAAAACACAGGGTATTCAATCACAGAAAATTTGTCCATATACTGCACGCATAATGGTATTGATGAAAGGAAAAACTGTTGTATATTAGTAGTTGTGATGACCCATATGCATGACTCTCGTATTCCTCATAGTTTTTTGGTTGAAACTGCATCAACAGCAATTTATCTCATAAATCGCCTCCCATCCTTGGTTTTGCATAAACAATCCCCATATTATTCATTATTTCATGTTCGTCCCGATTATTCTCTCTTGCATGTGTTTGGGTGTGTATGTTTTGTTCATCTTCCTCAGCATGAACGGACAAAATTTTCTGTTCAAGCAATCACTCGTGTTTTTGTGGGTTATTGTCCCGACCAAAAGGGGTTTCTATGTTATGATCCGAGAGCTCGTCATGTACGCATTTCTGGCAATGTCGTCTTTTTTTAAAGCATATTTTATTACTCTTCAATTACAAAATCATCAGGGTCCTTTGTTTCTTTCTTTTCAGATTTCTCTACTGATAAATCATCACACCTTTTAGCGCCTCAGTAGCAAGGCCAACAACACAAATCCACGCACACTCCATCTCACCAAACAGAGCAAGGTCAAACCTTCGTCCTACCTGTAAGTGCTTCTTTTCTTAATCCTATTAATAGCTCTACTCTCTTATGACGTTATTCACGTGTAACTCACCCACCTGATCGACATGGCTTCACCCTTGAGGATTTTGACTTTTCACTATAGCCTAGAGCTTTGTTTACTTCTCTTGATACTATTTTGGTTCCTTCTAAAAACCTAGATCTATGTTTACTCCTTAGATCATTATTTGCCCATCTAGATTCAGTGGATGTTCCTTCCTCCTACCAGCAAGTCTTGACTATGCTATGTTGGAAAGAGGCAATGGATGCAAAGATCAGTGCCTTGTTGGAAAATGACACTTGGGATCTTTTTCCGTGACCTCCTAACACATCTATTATTGGCAGTAAAAGGGTCTTTTCTGTGAAACTTAAATCTGATGGAAGGATCGAGCGATATAAAACACGATTAATTTTTCAAGTTTACAATTAGGAGTATGGCATAGATTATGATGAAACATTTGTTCATGTTGCTAAAATGACTACTGTACGAACCATAATTGCCCTCTCAACTATTCGTCAGTGGACTATATCTCAAATAGATGTGAAAAATACATTTCTCCATGGACATTTGAAAGAGACAGTATATATGGGATCTCTTCCTGGTTATTGCAATGATAAATCTATGGTATATCATTTGAAGAAATCCTTGTATGGTTTAAAACAAGCTCCAAGAGCTTGGTTTGAACGATTTCGACAGGTCATTCTGAATGCTGGGTTGAAACAAAATGCTCATAACTATTCGCTCTTTACTCATCATTGTTCTTCAGGAATAACAATTCTTCTCCTCTATATTGATGATATTTTCATCACCGGAGACAACCTTGATAATATCATACACTTGAAAGAGCTTCTCAGTCAATCATTCAAAATGACAGATTTGGGTCCGTTACCTTATTTTGTTGCGCTGGAGATTTATTATTCCCCTAATGGATACATAGTTAACCAGAAGAAGTACCCCAAAGAATTGATAAAACTGGCCCACTTATCTGATGATAAACTAGTGGATACACCAATGGAGGTGAATGTAAAATATAGAAAAGATGATGGAGACAAACTTTTGGATCCTACTCTTTATAGACAACTGGTTGGAAATCTACTTTATCTCACTATGACTCATCCAGATATATCTCATGCGGTACAAGTTGTTAGCCAATTTGTGGTTGAACCTCGTCGCATCCACCTCTCGACTGTCCATCGTATCATTCGTTACCTACAGGGTACATTCCATAGAGGACTATTATTCTCTTCTAACTCTTCTCTCCAGTCACCAGCCTATGTTGATGCGAATTGGACAGGATGCCCGATATTAGAGGCTCAACCATAGGTGATGTATTTTTTTTAGAGATTCTCTCATATCATGGAAATGTAAGAAACAACAGAAGCCGAATACCAAGCAATATCCTCAACTTGTAGTAAAATTACTTAGTTAAGAGGCCTTTTACAGGACCTCAATATTCTTCATCGAAATCCTACATCATTGTATGCAGATAATATGAGCGTCATCCGTATTGCATCCAATCCAGTATTACCTGACCGCACCAAGTATATAGAAGTTGATTGTCATTTCATTCTTGAAAAATTTCTGGCGGAGAAGTTACACTTCCACATATTACTTCCCAACAAACAACTTGTAGATATCTTTACCAAGGCAATGACTCGTGCTCGTTATGACTATCTCGTTGACAAACTGATGATGTTCACCCAACCTCAAATTGAGGGGGAGTGTAGAGATAGTTGAGGATAGTTTTTAATTAATTTTAATTTATCTTTTATTTGATGTAGATATCTCTCTTGATAAAGACTAGATTAGTTAGATATCTCTCTTGATAAAGACTAGATTAATTAGATATTTCTCTTGATAAAGACTAGATTAGTTAGTCATTATCAATAACTAATTAACAATATATTTATATGGAACTTTGTATATTTTTTACAATTAATCAATACAAAGAGATTTCCCAAGAGGGTTCAGAAGTTTGACAGGCTATGCGATTTGGGTATTCGAGAGAGAGAGAGACAGAGAGAGAGAGACAGAGTTATGATAGAGAGAGAAATGATGGGGAGGGTGGGCTCTGCGGTTGGGGTATTAGAAAGACAGCATAGGTAAGCAAAACTAGGGGATGTGGAGATATTTACCCTATATAAAATAGCTGAAAGGGGTCGGTTTGCACTTCAAAAGGTTGAACCCACCTCCTACTTGCAAAAGCGCTAAAAAATCAATGGGTTCATATGCCAAATTCTTGGAACTATTTCCCACTTAAAAAAACTAAATAAAAGCAAGCCCAATGCCTAAACCCATTTCCAACAACAAGAAAATTCTAAAAAAGAACAAAAACAAAACCACCAAAAAAAACAACACAAAAAAAATACAAAACAAGCAAACCGAAGAAGAGAGAGTGGGTTGGGAACTCAATTTCTTAACAAATCTCCCTAAAGAAAAACATTTAAAAGTGTCTAATGTCAAAACCCATCTCCCATCTATTAAAAAAAAGAGTGAATTTAGATAGCCAATATCCGAACCTATTTCTCACTTTTCACTTATAAAAAAGAAGTTGAGTGGCTTTGGAACCTTCTATCACTTACAAAAAAATTATAAAAAATAGTGACTTCGAACACTCAATAACCAAATCCATCTCCACTCACAAGACAAATAAAAGAAAAGTGGGTTGAGACATCCCAAGTCAGAACATGGCTCACATTCAAAAGAAAAATGCTGGTTCAAATATCCGTTGACTGAAACCAAAAAAATTGGGGAATATAAAAAAAGGCAAAAAAAAATTTCAACGTTTGTGTAAAATGTTAAATGATGAATTTTTTTTTTAATATGGATCATCTAATGAGATTTCTTGGTAAGTTTCCCTGCTTATTAAAGGGGCTCTTAAAAGAACGATACAATGGTAACGTCGATAGTCATGTATTTTCCAAAGGGTGTGAATTATTGATGTAGATCAAAATGGTTGATACAAATTTTTATTTTTATTTTTTTGAAGCCAAAGATATTCGAGTTGCGAAGGACCCTTATCTATGAATCGAATGGCTATGATTGTTCATGCCCCAGCTCGATTTGAATCTAAGAAGGAACCACTTCTTGACCATTCGATTTGAATCGAACGGCTATGATTGTTCATTCCCCAATGTCATGCCAAAGACTATTTAATTTTTTATTTTTGTCTACAAAATATTTTTAGATGAAATTTTGGGTGTCCCATCACAAAACTAGGTTGAACTTGGGAAAAATAAAAAACAAATATTTTCTATAAAAATAAATTACCAAAATGCCTTTACAATTTTTAGGGGTATTCTGGTAATTATTTATCACCGAAAAGTTGTTATTTTTATTTTATCATGTGCGCCCCTATCATATCTATACATGTCCTAAATTTTTTTTTTATAATGATCTGTAGAATAAAAATTAAAAATAAAAAACTATGAGCCATCCAAGCATGATCTGAAGGTTAAAAGCTAATTTGTGACAGTGTGTCTCAAGCAATCTACTTAGATTTGATGGCTGAGAATAGGGGTCACATATACTATATTTGTGGGTGGGATCACATAGAAAGCCTTTCAAAACTAAAAACCTAACAAAAAAAACCTATCTTTAACCGTTAACCTTAAATAAAAAAATGCATATTGACAACTCTAAAAAAAATTGAAAGAATAAAATTAAAATTTTGTAGCAATCATACTTTGATACGCACCAACTATATACATCAAATATAAATGCTTAAAGTAAGGTACACCAGTATGCTATACCGAAAGATGGAATTACCGTGCAGGCTAACTATATAATCACCTAATAATCTATGCCCACTACTAATTATAAAATTTAAAGCTTCAATGAAAATTTAAAGCTTCTATGATGCTACAGGTCTGTAGCGTATCTAAAAAACTGAAAATCTTGAAAATAAATATTCTAGATAACAATTTATAAGATGCACTATGTTTAAAATTGGAACTCTTTTTTGTTTTATTTCAGGGCATAATGACCAATCCGAGGGTTTCCGGCGTTAAAAAAACATTAGCTATTTCAGTAGATTTTCTTTTTTTTCTTATACCTGATGTAAATAGACTCCTTTTCTAGATCACGCCATGCTTGATTAGAAAGACGAGGAGAGAGAAAAGTTTCATGATGATGCTTTTACTTCACATCAAAATTCAAAAGGAGAGGTCTCAATTTTATTTACTGGCACTACCAAAGGTGCACATAGAGCTACAGTGAGTAGATGAGTTCTCAATTTTATTTACCTGCAGAAGGTGCACATACAGGTACAGTGAGAGAGAGAACTCCATGACTACATTGCCTTCTGCACCAAAAGTTATCACTCCTCATCGTTGGGTAGAACTAAAGTTGAAGGCAAATGAGTCAATACGTGATTAGTACCCATGTACCATATAGCAGAATAAATAGCCCCTTCCCCATCAGATCGAAGAACGAATGCATAGTCACCTTCTTCACGCGATGTACCGCTGCGCCATACGCAGACACCATTCCCATTGAAAACCGCCATTTCACCATCTGTTTGCAGTATGCAATAGCAATGACTGCCTCTGCCGTAAGTCTGTGAAGCCCATATAGGTTGCGACCCACGGTAACGGACGAGGTTGCAGTCCCCTTGCATTACAAGGCTGTAGTCTCCTTCCTTAAGGGATTCTCCTGTATTAAGACGACATCCGGAGTACAGGATATTGTTCCCATGAGGACTGGCAATGCATCGCGCATTGTCATTGTCGGCAATAGAAGGAAGGAGAAGAGAGAGAGAGAAAGTTAAGAGGAGGAGGAAGCATGGGGTGGTTGCCATTGCTGTTAGGATTGAGAGAGAGATAGCTGAGATAGAGGGGCCTTCAATTCCAGTGTGTTGTGTGATTGTATGAGGCCTCAAATCAATTTATAGAAAAAACCCGGAAGAGAGAGAATTGAAGGTCTACACACATACCCTTATTATCCATGTAACGTCCATCTCTAAGATGGATGTCAAAAAACTGTTATATCCACTGGGGAGGGGGGGGGGGGGAAGGTTTATGAAGAGCCGAGGCTTCAAACAATTAAATTAGAACCCACTTCAAAAATTTCATTACAAGATGTTGTTTTGATGCTCAAATATTATCAAATTGATCATCTCGACATCAATATGTATGGATATGAGAAAAAGTGGATTTCAAGTTTTAGAAATAGTGCAACTCGTAATGCATTTTTGGACCTTCAATTTTCAAGATTTTCAAGTTTTCATAGATCTGCTTGATCTACATTATTTTTTAAGCTTTAACTTTTGTAATTAAAGATGAAAATATATTTTAAGTCTACCATAAAGATTTACAGTAATGAAACCACATTTCTCGCCACTATTTGAAGGTGTGCTTTACTTTGATTGTTTATGGCCTCAGCTCTGTACAAACCACACTCAAGTTAAAATAGGTAGTGAAAAAAGGAATTTAAAAAGTAATATTTATATTTAAAAAAAAAATTCTAAATTTAGATCATTGTCATGGTTGAGATTATAAAAACCTATAATTTTGGATTAAAAATATATCTCTTGAGATATATTATGTAGGGAGGTAGCACAACAGCAGTGTGAGTCGGCGAACTCACAAAACGCTTTTTCTTATTATTATTATCATTATTATTTTTATTTTCGACTTTCGATGTATGCAGCTTTGATGACCTGAATGCAAAAAAGCTACGATCTGCAGAGCCACCGAATAGTCTTTTGGAATTCGATCCAATGATCATCAATTGGGATGATTATTTTATGACCATCCACATCCTGGCTTGGTTAAATATGCCTCAAAATGATCACCTTATTTATGGATTCTTATGGAAGAAGATAGAGATGGCAGACACATTGTAATTTATTCAACTTTCGAGCATTGAAAGTTTCTTATCAGAAGAAATATGACGAAAAAATTGGACCCTGTAACTGATTTGTGAAGTTTGTATTCTATCAAAGGGGGAGAGAGAGAAAGTGGGTGGAAAGATGTGTTTGGTATTGCTAATAGAATGATATGCATATGGATCTTAAAATTTTACGTAAAATACAAAATGTTTTGTTTATAGGCAAAAATTGTTGAAAAAACTTGAAGGAAGAGATGAACTCACTTCTAGGATTAGGGGCAGTGTCGTTAGACTATCGATCACAAAGATCAGGTTTTTATCAGAACTGTAAGAACTCCATAAATTTATGTGTCCCTCTCCATGGCTATGAAACCCTTCTTAAAGAGGGATAGAGGAGGTCGGTCTCCAACGTTCAGCTTTTTCCTAAAATCTCTGAGAAAACATGGCCCTGTAATCGTAGGAAGTGAGTGGTTACTTTCTAGCAGTTAGATAACTGCACTTTCTCTCTCTAAGAAGCCTCCATTTTTAGTGATAAGTATTAAATTATAAGAGAGAGAAATATTATACGTTTAAAGGTCCCATGGCCATACACACATACCAACATCTCCCAATTGACCATGAGGGCCCGATATATTAAAATATCATAAAGTCTTTACCACTTAATGAATTTAATATTTATGTGCATATTTTTGTCATGAGGCTTTCACGCAAGTGCGGTTATATATCTCATAACAAAAAATATCCAAAGTCATGTCATGATTTTTCACCCTAATGCTATTTTTCCTCTCATGACCAAAACATCAAAAAATATCCCATTTGGGAGTTCCTGACTTAAATATTTTTAAGTCTCATCAAACCTACTTGCTTTGATAATATTTTTACACTCAATCCATTTGTTAAAAGGTCAGCAATCATATCTGAAGATGGCAAATAACTTGCAGTTATTTCATTCTTTCCAATAATATCATAAATATAATGATAATCAATTTCAATGTGCTTACTCTTAGAACTATAAGCTCCATTTCTAATTGATGAAATAGCAGCCTGATTATCACAAAAAAATTTAACAGGTCCGTCGACTATATCCAACTTCAAATCATTTATGAAGCGTTTAATCCACAGACGGCATAAGTTGTAGCAATGCTGCAAGCAATATACTCGACTTCCATAGTATACCGAGCTACACAACCTTGTTTCTTACTAGATCAAGAAACACGTCCACCACCAAATCCATAGTATACCGAGTTACACAACCTTGTTTCTTCCTAGATCAAGAAACACATCCACCACCAAAGAGGGATGCAATTCTTGAGGTTGATTTTCTATCATCTGGGTCTCCTGCAAAATCTGCATCAGAGTACTTAGTAACCTCTAAGTTGTCAGTTTGGAAGCACAACTTGTAATTTTTAGTTTTTTAATATATCTGAATATCCTTTTTACAGCTTGCCAATGAGCCATCCTAAGATTACTCTGAAATCTACTTACAAAACCATATGCATGACTCAAATCATGTCTTGTACACAACATGGCACAATTTATGCATCCTACTGCATGAGCATATGGAATTCTTTCCATTTCAGCTTTGTCACTATTATTTAACGGACATATTTTGTTTGATAATTTTAAGCCTTTACAAATAGATGTATTTATGGGCTTGCAATTTTCCATCTTAAATCTCTGTAAAAAAACTTTCTAAATAATTCTCTTAAGATACACATAGAAGTCTTGAATTTCTATCTCTTCTTATCTTAATGCCCAATACATATGAGGCTTCTCCCATATCTTTCATCTCAAAATGGGAACTTAGCCATGATTTGATATGGTTAATCATACCAATATCATTACCGGCTATCAAAATGTCATCCACATATAGTGACAATATAAGAAAATTGCTCTCACTATTCTAGAAATATACACAATGGTCTAACATATTGGCTATATAACCAATTTCAGTGATTGCATAATGAAAAGTAAAGTACTATTGCGTAAAAGACTGTTTTAGATCATATAAAGATTTCCTAAGTTTATATACTTTGTCTTCTTGGCCTTTAATTACATATCCTTCTAGTTGTTTCATGTATATGTCTTCTTTTAATTCTCCATTTAATAAAGTTGTTTTGGCGTCCCTCTAAAATAATTCTAGATCATAATATGCAACTAATGCAAGGATGATCCTAATAGATGAAAATTTTGCTACTGGAGAATAAGTTTCTACATAATCTATGCCATCCCTTTGGGCAAATCCTTTAGCTACCAACCTAGCTTTATATTTATCAATGGATCCATTTGCATTAAGCTTTTTCCTTAGGACCCGTTTGCAACCGATCTTTTTTCTAACTTTAAGGAGGTCAACCAACTCCCAGACTTGATTTCTTTTAATAGAATCAAGTTCATCATCTATGGCTTGAGTCCACTCAGCTGAATCATGTGAGCTAATAGCTTCACTGTAGCTCGTCTATTGTATCCTCACTCAATGAAGAGTAATTATGTCAAAGCTATAGATTTAGTTGGAATACGATTAATAATACATATTACAGTGTTGAGAGCTTTACGCCAAAAATGAGGTGATAAATTTGAATGGCGCATCATGGACCTAACCATGTCCATTAGAGTTTTATTTCTCCTTTCAACTACATCATTTTGTTGTGGTGTATATAGCATAGCTGTTTGGTGAATTATACCATGCTCCTTACAAAATTCAGAAAATAAGGCGGAGCAATATTCACCTTCTTTATCTGTTCGAAGAATTTTAATATGTCTACCTAACTGATTTTCTACCTCAGCTTTAAATTCTTTAAATGTTTCTAATGCATCTGATTTTTTACTAATTAGGTATACATATTCATAACGTGAATAATCGTTTATAAATGTTATGAAATATTCCATACCTCTATGTGTTTTCACATTTAATGGGCCACATATATCAGAGTGAACAATACTACGTACGTCACTAGACTTTTTCTCTTTAGGAAAATGTTGTTTAGTTAATTTATCAGAAATACATGGCCGGCATGTTTTAAACACACTTTCTTCTAAACTGGGGAGCAAGCCTCTTTTAACAATTTGATTCATTTTGTCTTTATTTATATGTCCTAACTTAAGTGCCATAAATATGGATCATCCATACACATAAAAGCGTCAAAAGAAGCATCAATATAACCAGAAAATGATGAACTTTCATTAATATTCAATCGGTATAAATTGTCAACTTTAGTAACGTACACCAAAGCTCTAGAATGCTTCCCAAGGGAAACTGACCAGACGTGAACCTTATTTCATAACCCTTGTCATCTGGCCTCGGGACAGAAATCAAATTGCGACTCATCTTGGGTGCATACAATGTGTCAGTCAATAAGAGATTTGTTCCTCCTAGTAAACACAGCTTGAAAGTACCAACACTTAGTACATCGTAGTAGGTGTCATTTCCCATATAAATCCGCTGATTACCTGCTATAATCTCTTTCAATTCTGTGAATCCATCTTTGGTCCTTGAGACATGTCGAGTGGAGGCTGAGTCGACCAACCAATTTCTCAGGTCATGATCAGCAACTATTGATTCTAAGACTACGCATATCAAGTCCTTTATCTTATTTTGATTATTTCGAACAAGGTTGTTATTTTGGTTCCTATTTTTATTTTTTAGCTTAGGACAATTAAACTTGATGTACTCAATTTCCTTACAATAAAAACAGGTCTTCTTAACCTTATTCTTTTGATTTTTAAAATTTCTCCTCATTCCCTTATACTTAGTATTTTTTTGATAATTGAAAGGTTTCTTGAGGATCTGAAAAGATGAACTTTGGGAAAAGTACAGCTCATTTGACTTCTTCCTCATTATTCTCTCAGCTTCAATACTAAAATGCATGGGAAGATTTAACATAGTTATCCCTTGTACACAATGGTTCAATGCAATTACAACATATTTTCAAGATGGAGGGAGACTGTTAAGGACAATGGATACTTGCATGC